ACCATTAATCTTTGTCGGAAAGTAAATGGATGTCAGTGAAATAGTTACCTTTCTAGGTTAAGTAGAACGAATATAAAAGTCAATGTTTGCGAGCAAAATAAGTCGGCACTTCTGTGAAAAAAAGGTATGAGAACTAAATATCAAAAATATCAACATGCGATATCTAATTTCATCAGAAAGCAAATGCTAAAAACACGTGTAGTGAGTTTAAGCCACAATACAAATGACTGGCTGTAGAGTAGACAGATATTAGTAGAAGTTGATGTGCACCTTTATAAACCTATGCTTTCAAAAAGAGATTCTTTCTTTTCCATCGCCTAACGCGTAGTCTCACAGCCATAGCGAAATCGCATCTCTCCAGCCAGTAAGTAATTCGTACTTGTTCCGAAACGTTGTTTTCGTTCTGCATCATTACTTTGAAAGCATTTTGGATGGTACAGATATCCCCACTTAGGTTCCCAGCTATGGGCAAATAGTTAACCCACCAAACTGAGGTCAAAACACTATGAAAGTATTAAAATACATTTTTATAGTAAAAACAAAATTACCAGTAATACATTAAAAAAATACCAGCAATATATTTCTGTAAATAAAAAATATTGCCAGCAGTACATTTTTGTTAAAGAAATTACTAATACTCCAAATAAAATTAAATTTCAGCATTTAATGACCCATAAGGAGTTGATATGCCGCTAAACAAACAAACGAACAAATCCACTTCACATGCATTACATATGCGTTTACAAAATTCCAAAGCAAAGGAATCTGATCTGTTGCATCTCCACAAATTTCGTATCATTAGAAAATAAATCTCCATAGCAATGTTTAATTCATTTTGAAAGTGGTTTATGCGCTGGTAACAATTTCAATTTCCCAGAAGAACAAAAAACTGTCCTTGAAAATTGTTGCACATTCATGACATATATGATTTTCAAAAAATGTACTTGATCATTATAAATTATTCAGATATTTCACATTTTATTAATATGGAAAAAATACAAATATGTTAAGAGGCTAAACAGATTGAATCCTACAACCAATATGAACAATTACTTTCATATAGAAAAAAATAAAAAAATAGTTGGGTTATTAGATGCACAAGAAAAGAATGATTTTCTCGGTGCAAATTTGAACAAAAAGAAATTATTTACAATCGTTTAAATTGTAAGGGAAAGAAAAATATAAAGGTTGTTTAAAATATTCTTTTGAACGCCTAATAAAAATTACGCTGGATAAAGAGAAAATTTTCCTTTAAAAATGGCCCAATGACCTTAAAAAAAAGTCCCTTTTTAAGGGATACAGTGAACGTTATCTTGTAGTTGTGAAATTCCTGACCTGTCAGAGTTAAAGTCAAATGTAGCAGTCGCGAAGAATATTGTTGGAAAGGAAGATTGAATGAGATATTTTGGTAGCAGCGATGTGACGGAGGCTTGGTCTGTGTCTCTTTTGAAATTGGTTTCAGAACAAATTCTTAGGTTTTGGTTTCTGTCATGTTGTCCGGGAATTTTGGTTGGTCTCTTGGCGCTTCCGAATCTTCTTGTTCAGCAGCAAAAGTTGAATCTTAAGGTTGTCCTCTTGTCTTTATTACTATCCTTCCCGCCAACGCGTGAATACTGATTTCTAGTGGCTAGCAACCTTGTCGCTAGGATCACTCAGTTACCATTTCAAATTATCGCGGCTATAAATTCTTTGCTTCTGATTGGTGAAAGATAAAGCAAAGAAAAAATTTTTTCCACAACATTCAAATTTGATTAACCCGAGTCAGACATAGCATCAATAAAAAAGAATACGCTCAATTCAGGGTATATCGAGAAAAGCCGCTCGAACACACCATTGGTTATTAAAATCTTCGCTTTTACGTAGGAATAAGGAGCATACAATTGTAATTTTTTCACATATATTTTTATAGCCATTCAAAAATGTTAGTGATCATTAGAAACAGACGTCCGCAATGACGTTCGAAAGAAGTTCAGATTTGAATGAAAAATATATAAAAGAAAATGTATTATAATTAAAAAAACTTTTTTATAATTTTCTCCAGTGCTTAATCAACATTTAGTATACGAATTTAATAATTCTAAAAGTTTACCTTCTCCCCCCGTTTACAACGTCACATAATTTAAATGGTCTGTTCCCAAACGAGAAGCAATAAATATATTAACGTAACTCCCCTAATCAACAGATTCTTCATTTGTGAGGCAAACTTTAAAAAATCAATGAAATAAAAGCTAAGACTTGGTTTTATGTTCAAAAACGTCTTGAAAAATCTCATCTTACTTTGACTCATCTTTTCTCCGAACCGTGCAGTAATTATCGGTCTACAATTGCAGTTTGCCTTCACAGGATTGAAGCGAAAGGAATTTGGGCGTGATTCATTTGAATAGTTTTACAAACAATATTTCGGTTTTAAACGCAAACGTTAACGATAGAAACATTATGAACCGTCTGCGAAAATGGCGAAGACTCTAATCCGTTATTTTAGTTTTGAAATATCGAAGATAAACATTTGTAACTGTAATTATTTATTATTTGCATGCTTTTTTATTTGCATTTTATTAATTTCTTCAATATTCAGTGGTAAGTTCAGAAGAATTCGGACAGATATGAATTTAGGACAGATAAGAACTAATGTAAACAATACAACTTTCTATTATGAATAAATCTACACAAATTGGTCTCTATTTATAATATTAATAAGCTGGTTAGCCAAATATCGAAGTAGCTCTGAAAAGATTAAAAGAAATTTATCCTCCTAAATTTCTTTCTTTCTTTCTTTCTTTCTCACTTCACGGGCGCATGCGCGTGTGTAAAAAGAAAGAAGTATTCTGACGCAGTCAGTTCGAAAGCCATAGGAGACAGAAGATCATATTGTCTTCCTTTCAAAGTTCTAATCTATCATCATTACCGTTCAGTCACGATTATTACTCTTTCTACCACTACGACATTGCGTGCATTACAAAAATATAAACTAAACAAATTAAATTTCTATCTTTCTAGCTGTCAAACGATGGAATGTAATTTGAAACAATATGCAGTACTTCCTGATTTGACTTTCCAACAATATTTAATTTTAGATATAGGATATGAAAAAAAAGCTCTACATGAATTTAAATCTGGGTAACAAGTAAGTTAGAAAATAATTTATTGGCAGATGTATTGACGTTTTTAATTTTTGAGATTAACACAATCTCTCCATAGCTTTATACGGAATATCGTTTTATGGTGAATACCTTGACTAGAAACTTTCACTTCACTTAAGTACACCAAGAAAGAAATCACCATTTTGAGTCTTTCTTTTTCTAAAAATAGCCTTTCATGCGATGAGACATCACGTCTCAAAAAAGAGAAAACCTGAAATTCATCTAGCTTTTCTGCGAATTTATCTTGCTAAAAGAGGATTTCAAATCAGTTTTTATTTATCGATCCTGAAACAGTCGAGTATTTATTAATCTTAGCTTAGTCTGGCACAAGGATAAAAGTATGGAGCCTCCAGTGAATATCTAATTCACATCAATAGAAAAGTCTCCATATTGAAACGCACGTATATTTTCATGTTTCCTTGTATCGACAAATCATGTTCGTTGTCAACCAATTTTCTATCTGTTTCAATAAAAATATGCCAACATTATATTAACCTATACATCTAAGGTAGGACTGAGTGACCTTTTATGTAACGGGCTGAAGTGTCATGATAAAGGGGAAAACTTATTGCTTAACATTCAGTTGCTTTTCATCATTTTTACTACATTACATTTCCGATATATTGTTTTTACTTGTAATATTTGATAAAATAAACAGCTTACATGACTTTACTTCTTTGATTGTTTAACATAAAACCTACCCCTGTGGATCGAATAAAGGGTTGGGTTTAAGATTCCGAGAATATTATTTTTACAACAGACTCCTGAAGAAGGTCGAGGGATATAACGGCCGAAATGTTGTTGTTATAATAGCCAAAATGGGCTTATTGGTCCGAATAGAAAGCCATATAATGGAACAAATGTATGCAAATGAAAACCGAAGTAAAAGTGTCATGTGTCGAAAGGTAACAAAAATTGTCGATACTCGCGATACGGCTGAACATAAACGATTGATAAAAACTCAGGTTCGAGAGACAAACACGGAGTCGAGGCTTCCAAATGTTAATTAACATGGTTTTATATTTTATTCGTTTTTTTCTTTCTGTAATCATTGGAGAAGCGTAAACATTTTAGAATAGATTCCTATCAAGGTTTCCTTGTTGCTTTATGCCATCTGAACCGGATGACCATCTCGAAAGGATTGTAATGTTTATATAGTTTGCATGTGCAAATCGTAACCATGAGATGAAAATAAAAACTGTGGGACATGCAGAGATTCGTGTAAACATTAAGTTTTACGCCTGTCAGCTGTTTGGGCTTCCACTGATCAACCATATGACTGGTGTAGCTTACCTCTGGGGAACTCCGCCCCATCATTGACTGTTCCCACCATCGGCAACTTTCATCAAAAGTTTCTCCTGACAGATATTCATGCAAACAATCAAGTCAAATGCGGCCATAGGCGTAAATCGAAAGCGAAAAGGTGAGGTGCGGAGTAAACAGGCGGAATAAAACTAGTAGTAATAAATGATTGAATGAGAAAGAAAGAGAGAGGAAGATAGAGGGAGAGAGAGAGGAGGGGGAGAGAAAGATGGGGATGGAGAGGAAGAGAGAGAGAGAGAGAGAGAGAGAGAGAGAGAGGGAATGAAAGCCAAATTCGAAACAACTTCAGCTCGATTGGTATACCTTTATTCAATTGGAGAAAAGCAAGTGAACTGTAAGCTAATATCAAATGTTAATTAGCCATTCATCAAGTGAGATTCGATCTTTTCGGACGCTGATACAACAGCCGAATGAGTCAACAATAGGTCAGTCAGTGAGGCAAATACAAATTTTCCCAGCTGCAACTGAGCGTTGCAATTCGTGTTGCATGTTTTCCATAACAAGCGAAACGATGGAAAACTGAGTGGTTTCTGTTTGATGCTTCCTACCGACTTCCTCTCTCACCCACTTCCTCCACCCGTCGCTGCCACCGTCGACACTCTCTTGTTGCCTGTTTCTCTCCTGCAACATATCTTTCTTTTTGCTCACTTACCCAATCGGCAGCTGGTAGTTGCTCTCTTCGTAAAGCTTTACAGGTGGAAACTTACAGCTACACTTCTATCCAGAAAGAAACGGAGGTGAGTCTACGAGATTAATCGTTCCAAGAAAACGCTATTTGTTGACAAAAAAGAATCTCAGTTAAAAGAAAAAAATCAGGCTTTAACTTTAGATTTAACCTTTCCTCGCATCAAGTGAACACTCATTAAAATTCTAAATCCAATCATATGCGCGCGCACTGTGAGCTTGCTCGTGCGCGCGTGCGCAGAAATTCGCGGCCAACACGCATCCAGTGAATGTTGCCACTTCCTGATCGTCAAGTAAAAATATTCGTGTTGTAGAGGAATAATTAACTTCTCAGCGATTCATCACCACTTGTCTGCTACTTTGCAAATATAAAAAAGAAGGAGGATAACAAAGAAAATAGAGAGAGAGAGAGCGAGAGAGCGCGGAGAAAGTGAATTTACAGAAACGACATAAAAAAGAGAAAGGTATGAAAGAGATGAGAATTATAGAAAGCGATTGAGAGAAAGTAAAAAATAAGGAAGAGACGTGGGAAAGCAAAACGAAAGAGTAAGAAGACAGAAGAAATATTTTGAAACGTGGAGAACGGAGAAAAGAAAATAGCAGAAATAGGCGTTATGTGATCCACAGGCCTCAGCTTATGTACAAGTATTGTTAAAAGATAACATGTGATCCCACAGACACACGAACATACATACCCGCTTCTTGCAGTGACGACACAGGTAGACCGAAAACGGGTGGAAAACCGGGGAAAGTAGAAAGAAAAAAATTAAATCCTACAAAGAAAGAAAGAAAGGTGTTTGCATCAAAGTAGAACCTACCCGCCCCCGCAACTCCTCGGCGTCTAACCATCACGCAACACCCACCGAGATCTTCATCAACACAAAGCCAGACTGGCTTGGAGAGAGAATAGTAGAAATTATAGATGTTTTAATTGGTAGAAGAGTTGAAAAAGGCGGTCGACGGTGACGTCGGTGTGACGACGATACTGAGTAGCTGGGTACGGCCGAGGGGAGTTGATTGTCCGACTTAGCATGTCAGGCCAGGAGCTGCCAGACTACGATGCCGACTCAAGAATGACTGGATCGAAGAAAGGCTCCCCACCACCAATCATGCACCCTGATGTCGATGTCGCTGAGAGGGATCCGACAAACCTCAGTAGCTATATCAAGGTAAGTGAATGATGATTGTTATTATTATTGTTGTTGTCATTGTTGTATCTCATGGTTGTGTGGAAGGCAGACTTCTATGGTGTCGAAGTAACAACAGCTGAGCTTTTAGTAAACAGATTTAATCTCAAAAAAGGACACATGTTTTTCAGAGTGCAAACCTCAGGTCAATTTGTGCAGATTTAATTACGGAAAATTGATTTCATCACAATTCATCATTGTCACCCTTCTTTTTTTTATTGGTGATGATGTTGTCGTCGTTGTCGCTACGTTTTCTCAATGCATACATAGTCTGTTTTTTGATTTCTGAAATTAACTGCTTTTTTCAGGTATGAAATTAATTCAAATATAAAGTTTCTGCTAATCAAACCTGAGAAAGACGATGCTGTCACACACACACGCATACACACGCAAACACACGCAAACACACGCAAACACACGCAAACACACACACACACACACACACACACACACACACACACACACACACACACACACACTTACTATCATAACGTACCGTTTTGTCACTATAATTAAATGTTCATATGTCACTGACAATGTGGCTGTTGGACGCGCGAATAAAAGCGAGTAGTAAACAGATGGATTTTATTTGTTTATAGTTCGTCTGTGCATTTCTACACTGGTGTCTTTGCTGTGTGGGTCTGCGAGAAAGGGAGGAGCACATAACGAATCTTTTGTCAGCTGCTATCTTTCGAAATCGGCATGAAATCGTCACTTTTAAATAAAATAAGAGGCATGTGTGACGGATCAATGAGGGGTTGATTTGATGTGAGCGTCTCTACAATAGAAAATCCTGTACATGAACTCAAAAAGAAGGCGAACGGTATTCGTTTTATTTTGTGTCCGTAAATTTGACAGTCGGTGGAATGGAGATGGGGAGGAATTTAACGACAGTAATGGATGGCTGTAAGAACTTTCACGCTGATTGATTTATTTAGATTCATAGATAAAAACACCCACGCAAATAACGGGATATTAATAAAACCCGGATTAGGTATCATTTGAATTTCCTGAAGCATTTGAGATTGGATAAACTGGAAAAGTGCAGATCGAATAGAAACAACGGATGAATCGATTTGTTAATCTAGTTTGAAAAATGGCATAACATTTTAACGTACATAATATGTAACATTTGACCGTCACATGGAGCTTGTGTGTGTGTGTGTGTGTGTGTCTGTGTCTGTCTGTGTGTGTGTGTATGTGCAAGTATATTCACGGATCACGGTTCTAAAATTACACCCGTTGGCAAAGTGCATATCTGGGTGTGTTTGGCAGATTCCGGAATCTACTATAAACTTTGTTCTTAAATGTAAGTGCGTCTATTCTGGGAGTAACTGGAGAGTTTTAAAGACATTACCTTCTTTTTCACTCAAATGGAAAGTAACTCACTGTTAGTTAACTTAGAAGAATGTATGAATATCTAAGAAATGTGTCTATTGTGCTCAGACACACATTATAGTTTATGCAATGGCTTTTGCTTTTGCAATTAGAGGCTAAGTCGAGAGCCAACAGTTCAATTTTGGGCGCGGCTCACTCTATTCTTAACATGCATGGTATGATGTATGGGGTCATAAAGTTCAACTGCTCAAGGAAAATATAATTTAGTAGAATAAAATGTGCGATATTCGCTAATTAGAAACAATAAATGTTCAACAAAAGTCTAGCAAAATGTTTCCTCAATTTGATCACGTAAATGTAAAAAAAAACAAAAAACAAAACGAAGTAACATTTGTGATAAAAGTAAATTTGAAAATAGAATGTAATTGAAAAAAAAAACAGACTCGCCTAAACTTTACTTCTAAACTAAAACCCCTTTGGCTCTCAAGATAGTTGACTTATCACGAGAATTGATCATAATAAAAAAGAAATGTCTCAAGAAATGAGCCAATCAGTAAATTGAAGTAGACCACGTCACCTGAGCATTATGACGTCAGCCTTCAAAACAAGATGAACGCAGCATCATCCATCGGTACAACAAAAATCATATTAAATAGCGTTTGAGTTTTGTTCTTTCTTTGATCATACAGAAGATAGTTGAATTGGATAAAAAGGTAATATATATGGAAAAATAGGTCGTCTTACTTGTAATAGAATGGGGAACTCCAAGAATCATCGTCATCATATATATAATGTTCTTTTATTTGTTTTAATCTTTGCTGATCCGTGAAAACAATGAATGGAGATGAGCCAGTTTTTCATCATTCTGTGTGTAAGACGAACAAGTATGAATAAATATTTCTAATTATTCTAAAATGTAGATTTGTGAAAGATTTGTGTAGATTATTGAAACGATTTCAGTTTACTAAAGAGCACTTAGAATCGCGAATATTTGCACAGCAAAATAGTTTTATGCTGGTTGAGCGTGGATCGGATTTTTGGTTTCTCGTTTTGCGATTTCACTTTATTGTTATGATTTCAAATTAGAAAGTTGGGCTTTAAATCAGCGCAGGATGTTCTTGTTTTAAAATAATCGCATTAGATAAAAAAAAAAAAAAAAACTCCCGAGAAAATGAACTGGAATTCTTTTTAATAGTCAAACGTTTTCAGGAGCGTATTTTCTTGCAAGAAGAAAAATATAAAAAAGTTTATTTGACGTTAAATACTGTCTCTCAGAAGTATGGGGCTTGATACAAAAGTCAGTTGTTGATATATTCGACTAGTTTGAAATTTGGTTAATAATATTTAAAGATAAAATAAAAATAAATTAATCAATTCAATTAAAACATACGCTCGAAACCGTTTAATAAATTGCTGAAATAATCCGAACGCAAGTTGAGTTAATTAGAACAAATAAAGTTAATGATGGACATTGTAATTGACATTTGTTGTTGTCTGTTAAGGTAAGTGATGTTGCTGATTCTCCGAAAGAATTCCAAAACGAATAAAAGAAAAATTTACTTAAGTTCAGCCGGGTTTGTTTCAAGTTAAAACACACACACACACACACACACACACACACACACACACACACACACACACACACACACACACACACACACAAAATAAATGAGTGAGACACCCAGTGAGGAAAGAATTCACTAATAATGGATTACGAGGTTAGTTTACAACCCACAGCTTTACAGCAGGCGCCCTACAAGAAAAGGAGAAAGACAAGTCGATCATTTGTTTTAACTGACGCACCAAAATAGAACAGGGAAGTGAGAAACGATTTCAAATCTTCCAAAAATGTCGATTAGAATTAATGTATTCAGTTTGGATTGAAATTATGTTTATCAGAAGATTTCAACGAAACAACTTCAAATCACATGACACCATTAACATTAATTTATGTTCAGTGTTTCTGACAGATTTTTTGAGCATGCGCATTCCTGCAGAGTTATGCATAGATTTTATATATATATATATATATATATATATATATATATATATATATATATATATATCCATCGTTGTGATGAAAAGTTCCAGGCCTGACTGAGTATGTAAGGTTAGCTATTGGGAACTGAAACGGCTCAAGAACTCTCTCTCTCTTTCTCTCTCTCTCTCTCTCTCTCTCTCTCTCTATATATATATATATATATATATATATATATATACTACTTAGTGGAAAGTGCTCATTATCAGTAATATCTGTGATAGAGATAACATATTGTATAGATATGAGTTTGTAACCCAGGGTTTCACGCTTCTGCGATCATCAAACTCAGAGTTTGTCTGATGATCGCAAAAGCATGAAACCCAGGGTTACAAACTCATATTCGTAAAATTGAGTATATATATATATATAGGTATCTTCTCCCTCACAGTTATGGGTAAATACATAACGGGACAGACTGGGTCATATAGCCTTGGTTGGCAATCAGTCTAGGAGAAGGACAACTCTGTATTCAAAACCTGAAGAGGTTCGTTAGGAAAAATTGTGTCACATTATTTGCATCAGTTTTTTTGTATTCGGTTTTTCCAAAAAGTATCGTTAGTTCTACCCAAGCCTTCACTGCTATAATAAAATCATATGTGCAGATAATCTGGTTGTTCGGTTCTAAGAATTGAGCTACTAGACCCTCATACGTCGAAAACGACGGGGAGAGCCCAATATATATATATATATATATATATATATATATATATATATATATATATATATATATATATGAGAATGTGCTGAAAGGTTCTTGCTCAAACAGTTCCAAAATCTAACTTAACATAAGAATTTTTAAATCCTTATTCAGTCGGGCCGGGAACTTTCAGCACAACGACGCAATATATATATATATATATATATATATATATATATATATATATATATATATATGTTGGACTATTCCTTCGATTTTGACCTATGAGGGTTCAACAGTTTCAACTAAATCGCTAGACTACCCACGCAGATGAATTGATTATCCGCTTATGTCGAAACATTCATACTTTTCGGAAGAACTGATAACAAAGAAATGGTGATCGGCGCGTCAAGAAGTCTTTGGATACACCGCTTTATTTTGTGTCAAAGAATTTAACTTATCCGGAAAAATGTCAAAATCTAAGGACAGTACATAAACATGACCCTCTTCAGAAAGACATCGTTTGAATTCTGAGTTAACAAGCCTTTCTCAAGAGAATTAGCGCGAAATGAACGAAAGAGAATCGATCAGAATTTGAACTCGCTCCGCCGATTCTGTCTCGTGAGGAGAGTTAGGTTGAGGAGGCTGTCAGAATCAAGTATTTGCAGGGATTCATTCAGTCATTTTATCCTCCATGATATTAGTTGTTACATTTCCCACACATTCTCTCTCTCTCACTTTATCTCCCCACTCTCTCTCTCTCTATATATATATATAGTTATACACAACTTCAAAATTCTCCTCATATTTAGCCAAAACATAATTTATTATTAATGATCTTCCTTGTGTAATGGAATTTTACCTTCATTTATATTATTTCTTAAAGGAAGTATCAAATATTTGATTCATGATTAAATATTTTCAAAGATTTCGTAAAAATTACCGTTTGAAGAGATTACTATTTTA